CCAAGGGAAGGGGTGGTGGTAAGACTGACATGGGTCGCTGCAAGGAGTGATGAGTCCTTGTAGGACTTCCTTGGTTCAAGGCCTAAGAGTCTGCCCACCCCTTCGTGGAAAAGCTTACCATGTCCCAGCAGCTGACTTACACGTACATTTATTACACCGCAAATGGGCTGTCTGGGCTAATTTTTAAAGTTTACTGTGTTACAAGTCTTCCAGATCGGCTGATGACAGACATATCAGCCAGTGCTGAAAACCCCATGAATAGACTGAAGGCGAGGGGCTACAACTAAGAGGAGAGACAATCCCAAAGAAAGGGCACACTGCACAATCCCAGCAAAAACATGGGCTTTCCTCTCTTCAAATTCTTGTGGTTTCTTCTGTGACGTGAGTAGGAACACCTTGTAGATTTTTTTTTTAAATGTTCACATTCTGTGCCTCAGTTTCCTTATCTCTTTATGGTTCACAGAATGGTTGAGATTAGAAAGGACCTCTGGAGATCATCTAGTCTAACCCCACTGCTCAAGCAGGGTCACCTAGAGCACACTACTCAGGATCGTGTCCAAATGGCTTTTGAATATCTCCAGGGAAGGAGACTCCACTACCTCTCTGGGCAACCTGTGCCAGTGCTCTGTTACCCTCACAGGATTATGTACAAGCTAGCAGAAATTAACCCCTGCCCTCTGTCAGCACCAGCTAGCACACCCCTCTCACGGTGTGGGCTGCTGACGCCCAGCTGGGCAGCCAAGCTGATGGGGCTGTCAACTCCCCTGAGCGCTGCTTATATTGCTGCTCAGATAACCTTACAGACATGTACTGAGCATAAGAGTTCTGCAAGAGTAACAGCATCTGAGGCCATATGAAAAGAAGTACAGCCAATAGATTGAGTCAGCCCCTCTATCCAACGCTCCCTAGATCACCTCTAGATGCTGTGTCTAGTTTTGGGGCCCCAGTACAATGATATCAGCAACCTGGAGTGAGGTCAGCACAGGACCATTAAGATGGTGGGATGCTAGAGCACTTGCCCTGTGAGGAAAGGCTAAGGGAGCTGGGCTTGTTCAGCCTGGAGAAGAGACTCTTTCAGGGGGACGTAACAGCAGCCCCCCAAATGCCTGCAGGGAGGTTATCAAGAAGACAACAGAGCCAGGCTCTTCACAGCGGTGCATGGTGGGAGGATGAGAGACAAGGGGCATAGGTTCAAACAAGAGAGGTTTTCAGCCAGGGTATAAGAAAAAGCTCTCTCCCCCATGAGGACAGCCAAACAGGGGAAGAAGTTGCTCACAGAGGCTGCGCAGTCTCTATCCTTGCAGGTTGTCAAGGCCTGACCAAGCAAAGCCCTAAGCAACCTGGCCTGGTTCCATAGCTGGCCCTGCTTTGAGCAGAAGGTTGGATTAGAGGCCTGCTGAGGTCCCCTTCCACCCGAATTATCCTACGATGCTATGAGTCTATGCTCTTCATGAGCAAAGAGTAATTATTCAATACTACTCTAAGATTTCCATCATGGAATAAATGGACCACTCCCAGACATTTGTCCTCTGCCAGAAATGATCAAAGGTATCTCACACAAAATTTGTGGACTACAGTATGAAGACTAGCTGGAAGACTGTAGAAAAATGAACAACGGACAGTCATGTGCCTCAGAAATGGACAATTAATCCTTGTCTATTGTTTTTAAAAAAAAGCTAATAAAAATGTCGCTCAAAAATGGCAGTATTGTTTACAAGAAACTGGATTTCCTATTTGATCTCTTAGCTCAAGGGCAAATGCACAAGGATGAATGAGACACTATCAGAGACACTTCTCTGTACGCTATCTTTTCTCAATATAAGATGCTTCTCTTGGTTGCCCTTGTAGAAATTCACAGCCTGCAACACTTTCGCACTGCAGTTTTGCAAATGTTCATAATACGTAGCATTTTAATAAAAGTAATTTTTGCCTACATCCCACCCATAGATCTCAGAACTGTATGCTAGCAACAGGCAAGTGACTGCACTTGCAAGCATGGTCTCATGCAGCCAAGTTTATGATCTCATTGTTTTCTGGTCTGCATGGCACTCAACTGCGTGAGGTTTTAAGCTTGGATTAAAAAAAAAAAACTCCAAACCTGTGGCATGACCACAGTAAATGAGCCAGCCTCCTGTTTACAAGGCAAAGATACTTTTCCCACAGTCAGGCAATCTACACAGCCTTTGTCTTTGCAGATGTCAGTGCTCAGAAACTCATAGAAATC